CCTATACTGCTCAAACGAGGGTTGTTGTGCTATTGGCACGAGGCCTGTAACCACGTCCTTTGTTTGCTATCATGTTGAATGTTTTGGCGATCATAGTGTCCAGCTGTCCACGGTCTTGTGAATTTTGGTTTTCCGCCCAGAGGACAAATCGTCTAAGAGATGTAGTGAACTGGCCTATTCAGACAAGGTGTTGACTGCAGTCGGCCACGATGCTGCGACGCCAACAGTTGTTGCTAGCGCCCAAATGCGTAGCAGCCATGCAGAGAGCAACATTCCTCCACATTTGCTTGATTTTCGTCACTCTGAAATTGACCTCGCTGCGAGGTTCAAGAACCAACGCACAAAGGGGTGGGAAACCGGAAACCGTGTCGAATTGTCTTCAGCATCCCACGATCAGTTGGCCAACCCATTCCGCTCGTAGACCACGGCAAGAAAGTGATCCAACAAAATACATTAAAGTATCTAAGGCATCTAAGGCCGCTGCCTCCTCTAAATCGAAGCCTTGGCGAAGGAACGTTATCCCAGAACCCCCTCTGTTCGGAGAAGCGATTCCGAGCAGCAACGGCCAATTCTCATTCATCCTCAACCGATGGCCTGCGGACAGGAGGTGCCCGAGCCCAGCGACATCCAGAGGCGGGGTGGGCGGGCTAAACAGGCATGGCATCAGGTTGCTGTAGAAGCCCTGTGAAGTCCTGTGAAACATGTGAAAGGTTCTGTGGGTGCCGATATAGTTGAACTGCCGTCCCGATTGCCCGGCGAGCAGGTTGGCTGAGGGCAGCGGCGGAGGCCGGTCACAGCTGATCCAGGACGATGAGGCCTCAAGCCTACAGGGTGCGAGAGAGGGACGCAGATAGACAAAGCCTTGGTGTTATCATCGGAATGCTGTGCTGGTGCTCGCGCCCTGAGTGTTTCTTTTCGCCGGGAGAATAGCTGAGAAAGTCACATCTTTCTCGATTCAGAAGGGAGTGGTGTCGGCGCATCCCGCCCTGCAATAGCAGCTGCTCCTCCTTACAGCCGCAGAAAACCTTGGCTGTCACCACGATTGATGGCGCGGTGTGCACGTATGCTGCGATTGGGCGGTCAGCAGGGCCAAGGTCGGGGGGGGGCGGGGGGGTGGGGCGGCCCTCCCCCCCCCGAACTCCTGAAGCGGCTTCCGTGTCGCCATGGTTGGGAAGATGCCGCTGTGATCCATTGTGCACACAACCGAGTTGCACTCCCAGCTGTGCACACATGTGCACACTTCGCTTCCACCCGCCTGGCGATTGGAGCCTGGTGGTGTTCAAGAGGAGGAACCCGGCTCTCAAAAGCAGGCCAAGTCGAAAGAAGGGTCGGGGTGCATGCGTGGAGCAGTTGAGCCGCGGTGCCCAGCCTGCACCCCCCGAAGCGATACGCATTCAAAAGGAGAGAGTGTGTGTTGAACGCCGACAGGGCATCTGGGCGGTGGCATGCCCGAAGAAAGATTGCTTTTCGGCATTTTTGAGGGGTGGTTCATTTTCCTAAAAAAGGTTAGCGTGACCCCTTGCCCAGGATCCCAGCAGCCACAGTGGGCGCCGGCGTCGGCGGAAGGGAGCTGAAGAGGAGAACTAGAAGCTCTGCGTCCAGGGCTTTTGTGGCTTTGAGGGGTTGCTGGGTTTGGTGAAAGCGTTGGCCGCCCGAACTCCTCAAGAAGCAAGCCTGGACCAGGCCGCGGCGCCCGCCGAGCCCGCACTCCTTGCTGGGCAGTCCACGCCGTTGGAGACGCCCGTGGGGCCCCGAGAGGTCTCATTCAAGAGGGATTAGAATCTGCTTGGGGGGAAAGCTTCGCCTTTCATCCGACAACCTGCGGACAGGAGGCGCTTGAGCAAAGCGACAGAACCAGGCCAGCGGCGACGGGGGGTTAAACGTGGGCCGGAAAGGTCAGGCACCGCCGAAGTAGAATCTGTAGAAGCGCAGCGAAGAGGTGTTTTCCGGCCAGCTCTGCGGTTGGACTCCTGTAGTCTCGCCGAAGCCTGCGTCCGCGATCAGCCTTGCCGCATGTGCGCACTGCCAAAGCAAGAGGCCTTGAGAATTGCTTGACGTGCAGGTTGACCGAGGGCAGCAGCGAAAGCCCATCGGAGCCGATCCAGGCTAACGAGGCCCGAATGGGAGAACCATAGGCCGATACGTGTGACCCCCAAACTCAGAGTCAACACAGCACATGGCCCAAGTCTCCTAGGAGGGTGCGTTGGATGTGGGGGGCTTCGGCGTAGTATGCGTAATCACTGACGGGGTCCGGATCCCGGATTTCCACAATTTCCACAGGTGGCTACAACGAGCGCAAAAAAGGAATGATGTCGCCGATTGAGAGCGAAGAAATGCCGTTTTGTTTCTAGCATGTGGTGTTATCATCGCTGTCTTCATGTTGTGCCGGTGCTCTTAAGTCGCACTGAGCATGTTCTTGCTTCTGGGGCTTCAAGCGGCGGAGGGCTTAGGGTTTCACGACGCTTGGAAAGAAGGTCGGTGGACCTGTCCGCAGGCCATGGCGTGACCACTCCTAAACCCTTGCTCCAGGATCCCAGCAGCCACGCTGGGCGCCGACGTCGGCGGAAGGGAGCTGAAGAGGAGAAGCTCCGGGTCCGGGCTTTGGGGTGCTGAGGTTGCAGAGTTTCGTGAAAGCGCTGGTTTTCCGAGCTCCTCAGCCCGGAGCTCCAATCTTTCGACGTACTGCAAGCCTGCCCCCGCTCCCCCCGTGGCAATCTAAAACAAGATGCAAGACGCAAGCCTGGACCAGGCCGCGGCGCCCGCCGAGCCCGCACTCCCTGCTGGGCAGTCCACGCTGTTGGAGACGCCCGTGGGGTCCCGAGAGTTCTCATTCAATGATGGGCATCGGCATCGAGAGGGGTTAGAATCTGCTTGGGGGGAAAGCTTCGCCTTTCATCCGACAACCCGCGGACAGGAGGTGCTTGAGCCCAGCGACAGCCAAAGGCCGGCAGCGAAGGGGGTTGAACGAGCGTGGGCAAGGTCAGGCACCCCCGCCGTGGGCCAGAAAGGCATACCATCACGTGCTGTAGAAGTCCTGTGAAGCGTTCTTCGATTGTGGCTGGGCTGGTGATCACGACAAGACAAGACCTCCATGACGAAGATTGACTGACATGTGACATGTGATTGACCCAACGTGCAGGGTGGCCGAGGGCAACGGCGGAAGCCCGTCGGAGCCGATCCAGGACGAGGCCGGAAGCCTAAAGAGTGTCATGACGTTTCATGCCTTCCGACACCCTGCAGGCTTATGGCCTGACCATTCCTGACCCCTTGCCACAGGATCCCAGCAGCCACAGTGGGCGCCGGCGTCGGCGGAAGGGAGCTGAAGAGGAGAACCGGAAGCTCTGCGTCCAGGGCTTCGGTTGCAGGGTTTGGGATTTGTGGCTTCCAGATGCTTTGCCGAGTGCACCTACTCGACGTTGAGATCGGATGAGCGAGGTGTTCCGGGCCCCTCTACATGTACAGGTGGTGGGGTTGAAAGCTGTTGAAATTGCTCATGCCGCCTGAACTCCTCAGCCCGGAGCTCTTCAACATCTCAGCGTCTTTCGACTGCAAAACCCGCCCTCCCCCCCGTGTACCAAAGATCACCGTGGCGCGAATTGAGCCCTACAGCAATCTCAAGCAAGAGAAGCAAGCCTGGACCAGGCGGCGGCGCCCGCCGAGCCCGCACTCCCTGTTGAGCAGTCCCTGCCGTTGGAGACGCCCGTGGGGCCCCGAGAGTACTCATTCAAGATGGGCATCGAGAGGGTTAGACTTTGTTTTGGGATGCCTTGGGGGAAAGCTTCTCCTTTCATCCGACAACCCGCGGACAGGAGGTGCTTGAGCCCAGCGACAGCCAAAGGCCGGCAGCGAAGAGGGGGGGTTTGAACGAGAGTGGGCAAGGTCAGGCACCCCCGCCGTGGGCCAGAAAGGCATACCATCACGTGCTGTAGAAGTCCTGTGAAGCGTTCTTCGATTGTGGCTGGGCTGGTGATCACGACAAGACAAGACCTCCATGACGAAGATTGACTGACATGTGACATGTGATTGACCCAACGTGCAGGGTGGCCGAGGGCAACGGCGGAAGCCCGTCGGAGCCGATCCAGGACGAGGCCGGAAGCCTAAAGAGTGTCATGACGTTTCATGCCTTCCGACACCCTGCAGGCTTATGGCCTGACCATTCCTGACCCCTTGCCACAGGATCCCAGCAGCCACAGTGGGCGCCGGCGTCGGCGGAAGGGAGCTGAAGAGGAGAACCGGAAGCTCTGCGTCCAGGGCTTCGGTTGCAGGGTTTGGGATTTGTCGCTTGCAGATGCTTTGCCGTCTGCACCTACTCGACGTTGAGATCTGATGAGAGGTGTTGCGGGCCCCTCTACATGTACAGGTCGTGGGGTTGAAAGCTGTTGAAATTGCTCATGCCGCCTGAACTCCTCAGCCCGGAGCTCTTCAACATCTCAGCGTCTTTCGACTGCAAAACCCGCCCTCCCCCCCGTGTACCAAAGATCACCGTGGCGCGAATTGAGCCCTACAGCAATCTCAAGCAAGAGAAGCAAGCCTGGACCAGGCGGCGGCGCCCGCCGAGCCCGCACTCCCTGTTGAGCAGTCCCTGCCGTTGGAGACGCCCGTGGGGCCCCGAGAGTACTCAGTCAAGATGGGCATCGAGAGGGTTAGACTTTGTTTTGGGATGCCTTGGGGGAAAGCTTCTCCTTTCATCCGACAACCCGCGGACAGGAGGTGCTTGAGCCCAGCGACAGCCAAAGGCCGGCAGCGAAGAGTGGCGGTTTGAACGAGCGTGGGCAAGGTCAGGCACCCCCGCCGTGGGCCAGAAAGGCATACCATCACGTGCTGTAGAAGTCCTGTGAAGCGTTCTTCGATTGTGGCTGGGCTGGTGATCACGACAAGACAAGACCTACATGACGAAGATTGACTGACATGTGACATGTGATTGACCCAACGTGCAGGGTGGCCGAGGGCAACGGCGGAAGCCCGTCGGAGCCGATCCAGGACGAGGCCGGAAGCCTAAAGAGTGTCATGACGTTTCATGCCTTCCGACAGGCTGATGGTTCTTTTTTTTTTTTTATGGTTTCAGGTGAACCCTATAAACCCTAAACCCTAAACCCTAAACCCTGATGTGCGCGCAGTGCGGGTGGCAAAAACCCTAAACCCTAAACCCTAAAAACTTCAACCGCCAATTCCCTGCAGAGTGTCCGAGAGGTCAGCTAAGCGGGTGGCAAAAAAAAAACCCTAAAAATACTGTTAGCTATCATGGTTTGAGCCCCTCTGTTGGACACGCCGATTGGGTCAAAGAACTTCTGTCGGCCAATGGACACGTACCAGTTCGTTTTCAGTTTATCTGGGATCGATCAGGGGTCAGCTCTTCAGTATTGTGGCTTGGCATTGAACATCTGTCGGTGGTAGGAAGTGGGTATGCTGACCCCGGTTGGTTCATTACTAGTGGTCAATGCACCCACTCTGGAGATCTCGACAGGACTTGCCTCGCCCGCTTATGCCAGTGTGAGAGTCGAAACCCTAAAAACCCTAAACACGCTAAAAACCCTAAAAACCCTAAAAACCCTAAACACCCTAAAAACCCTAAAAGCCCTAAAAACCCTAAAAACCCTAAACCCTAAACCCTAAACCCAAGACCATGAAAATACGAAAAAAAAACCAGAAAAAAACACGAAAAAAAAACCTGGACCCCCATTTTCCGACACCCTGCAGGCTTATGGCCTGACCATTCCTGACCCCTTGCCACAGGATCCCAGCAGCCACAGTGGGCGCCGGCGTCGGCGGAAGGGAGCTGAAGAGGAGAACCGGAAGCTTTGCGTCCAGGGCTTCGGTTGCGGGGTTTGGGATTTGTCGCTTCCAGATGCTTTGCCGTCTGCACCTACGCGACGTTGAGATCGGACGAGCGAGGTGTTCCGGGCCCCTCTACATGTACAGGTGGTGGGGTTGAAAGCTGTTGAAATTGCTCATGCCGCCTGAACTCCTCAGCCCGGAGCTCTTCAACATCTCAGCGTCTTTCGACTGCAAAACCCGCCCTCCCCCCCGTGTACCAAAGATCACCGTGGCGCGAATTGAGCCCTACAGCAATCTCAAGCAAGAGAAGCAAGCCTGGACCAGGCGGCGGCGCCCGCCGAGCCCGCACTCCCTGTTGAGCAGTCCCTGCCGTTGGAGACGCCCGTGGGGCCCCGAGAGTACTCAGTCAAGATGGGCATCGAGAGGGTTAGACTTTGTTTTGGGATGCCTTGGGGGAAAGCTTCTCCTTTCATCCGACAACCCGCGGACAGGAGGTGCTTGAGCCCAGCGACAGCCAAAGGCCGGCAGCGAAGAGTGGCGGTTTGAACGAGCGTGGGCAAGGTCAGGCACCCCCGCCGTGGGCCAGAAAGGCATACCATCACGTGCTGTAGAAGTCCTGTGAAGCGTTCTTCGATTGTGGCTGGGCTGGTGATCACGACAAGACAAGACCTACATGACGAAGATTGACTGACATGTGACATGTGATTGACCCAACGTGCAGGGTGGCCGAGGGCAACGGCGGAAGCCCGTCGGAGCCGATCCAGGACGAGGCCGGAAGCCTAAAGAGTGTCATGACGTTTCATGCCTTCCGACACCCTGCAGGCTTATGGCCTGACCATTCCTGACCCCTTGCCACAGGATCCCAGCAGCCACAGTGGGCGCCGGCGTCGGCGGAAGGGAGCTGAAGAGGAGAACCGGAAGCTTTGCGTCCAGGGCTTCGGTTGCAGGGTTTGGGATTTGTGGCTTCCAGATGCTTTGCCGAGTGCACCTACTCGACGTTGAGATCGGATGAGCGAGGTGTTCCGGGCCCCTCTACATGTATAGGTGGTGGGGTTGAAAGCTGTTGAAATTGCTCATGCCGCCTGAACTCCTCAGCCCGGAGCTCTTCAACATCTCAGCGTCTTTCGACTGCAAAACCCGCCCTCCCCCCCGTGTACCAAAGATCACCGTGGCGCGAATTGAGCCCTACAGCAATCTCAAGCAAGAGAAGCAAGCCTGGACCAGGCGGCGGCGCCCGCAGAGCCCGCACTCCCTGTTGAGCAGTCCCTGCCGTTGGAGACGCCCGTGGGGCCCCGAGAGTACTCAGTCAAGATGGGCATCGAGAGGGTTAGACTTTGTTTTGGGATGCCTTGGGGGAAAGCTTCTCCTTTCATCCGACAACTCGCGGACAGGAGGTGCTTGAGCCCAGCGACAGCCAAAGGCCGGCAGCGAAGGGGGTTGGCCAGAAAGGCATACCATCACGTGCTGTAGAAGTCCTGTGAAGCGTTCTTCGATTGTGGCTGGGCTGGTGATCACGACAAGACAAGACCTACATGACGAAGATTGACTGACATGTGACATGTGATTGACCCAACGTGCAGGGTGGCCGAGGGCAACGGCGGAAGCCCGTCGGAGCCGATCCAGGACGAGGCCGGAAGCCTAAAGAGTGTCATGACGTTTCATGCCTTCCGACACCCTGCAGGCTTATGGCCTGACCATTCCTGACCCCTTGCCACAGGATCCCAGCAGCCACAGTGGGCGCCGGCGTCGGCGGAAGGGAGCTGAAGAGGAGAACCGGAAGCTTTGCGTCCAGGGCTTCGGTTGCAGGGTTTGGGATTTGTGGCTTCCAGATGCTTTGCCGAGTGCACCTACTCGACGTTGAGATCGGATGAGCGAGGTGTTCCGGGCCCCTCTACATGTATAGGTGGTGGGGTTGAAAGCTGTTGAAATTGCTCATGCCGCCTGAACTCCTCAGCCCGGAGCTCTTCAACATCTCAGCGTCTTTCGACTGCAAAACCCGCCCTCCCCCCCGTGTACCAAAGATCACCGTGGCGCGAATTGAGCCCTACAGCAATCTCAAGCAAGAGAAGCAAGCCTGGATGAGGCGGCGGCGCCCGCCGAGCCCGCACTCCCTGTTGAGCAGTCCCTGCCGTTGGAGACGCCCGTGGGGCCCCGAGAGTACTCAGTCAAGATGGGCATCGAGAGGGTTAGACTTTGTTTTGGGATGCCTTGGGGGAAAGCTTCTCCTTTCATCCGACAACTCGCGGACAGGAGGTGCTTGAGCCCAGCGACAGCCAAAGGCCGGCAGCGAAGGGGGTTGAACGAGAGTGGGCAAGGTCAGGCACCCCCGCCGTGGGCCAGAAAGGCATACCATCACGTGCTGTAGAAGTCCTGTGAAGCGTTCTTCGATTGTGGCTGGGCTGGTGATCACGACAAGACAAGACCTCCATGACGAAGATTGACTGACATGTGATTGACCCAACGTGCAGGGTGGCCGAGGGCAACGGCGGAAGCCCGTCGGAGCCGATCCAGGACGAGGCCGGAAGCCTAAAGAGTGTCATGACGTTTCATGCCTTCCGACACCCTGCAGGCTTATGGCCTGACCATTCCTGACCCCTTGCCACAGGATCCCAGCAGCCACAGTGGGCGCCGGCGTCGGCGGAAGGGAGCTGAAGAGGAGAACCGGAAGCTCTGCGTCCAGGGCTTCGGTTGCAGGGTTTGGGATTTGTGGCTTCCAGATGCTTTGCCGAGTGCACCTACTCGACGTTGAGATCGGATTAGCGAGGTGTTCCGGCCCCCTCTACTGTGAAGGTGAAAGCTGTTGAAACTGCTCATGCCGCCTGAACTCCTCAGCAGCGTCTTTCGACTGCAAAACCCGCCCCCCGTGTACCAAAGATCACCGTGGCGCGAATTGAGCCCTACAGCAATCTCAAGCAAGAGAAGCAAGCCTGGACCAGGCGGCGGCGCCCGCCGAGCCCGCACTCCCTGTTGAGCAGTCCCTGCCGTTGGAGACGCCCGTGGGGCCCCGAGAGTACTCAGTCAAGATGGGCATCGAGAGGGTTAGACTTTGTTTTGGGATGCCTTGGGGGAAAGCTTCTCCTTTCATCCGACAACCCGCGGACAGGAGGTGCTTGAGCCCAGCGACAGCCAAAGGCCGGCAGCGAAGAGTGGCGGTTTGAACGAGCGTGGGCAAGGTCAGGCACCCCCGCCGTGGGCCAGAAAGGCATACCATCACGTGCTGTAGAAGTCCTGTGAAGCGTTCTTCGATTGTGGCTGGGCTGGTGATCACGACAAGACAAGACCTCCATGACGAAGATTGACTGACATGTGACATGTGATTGACCCAACGTGCAGGGTGGCCGAGGGCAACGGCGGAAGCCCGTCGGAGCCGATCCAGGACGAGGCCGGAAGCCTAAAGAGTGTCATGACGTTTCATGCCTTCCGACACCCTGCAGGCTTATGGCCTGACCATTCCTGACCCCTTGCCACAGGATCCCAGCAGCCACAGTGGGCGCCGGCGTCGGCGGAAGGGAGCTGAAGAGGAGAACCGGAAGCTCTGCGTCCAGGGCTTCGGTTGCAGGGTTTGGGATTTGTGGCTTCCAGATGCTTTGCCGAGTGCACCTACTCGACGTTGAGATCGGATGAGCGAGGTGTTCCGGGCCCCTCTACATGTACAGGTGGTGGGGTTGAAAGCTGTTGAAATTGCTCATGCCGCCTGAACTCCTCAGCCCGGAGCTCTTCAACATCTCAGCATCTTTCGACTGCAAAACCCGCCCTCCCCCCGTGTACCAAAGATCACCGTGGCGCGAATTGAGCCCTACAGCAATCTCAAGCAAGAGAAGCAAGCCTGGACCAGGCGGCGGCGCCCGCAGAGCCCGCACTCCCTGTTGAGCAGTCCCTGCCGTTGGAGACGCCCGTGGGGCCCCGAGAGTACTCATTCAAGATGGGCATCGAGAGGGTTAGACTTTGTTTTGGGATGCCTTGGGGGAAAGCTTCTCCTTTCATCCGACAACTCGCGGACAGGAGGTGCTTGAGCCCAGCGACAGCCAAAGGCCGGCAGCGAAGGGGGTTGAACGAGAGTGGGCAAGGTCAGGCACCCCCGCCGTGGGCCAGAAAGGCATACCATCACGTGCTGTAGAAGTCCTGTGAAGCGTTCTTCGATTGTGGCTGGGCTGGTGATCACGACAAGACAAGACCTCCATGACGAAGATTGGCTGACATGTGATTGACCCAACGTGCAGGGTGGCCGAGGGCAACGGCGGAAGCCCGTCGGAGCCGATCCAGGACGAGGCCGGAAGCCTAAAGAGTGTCATGACGTTTCATGCCTTCCGACACCCTGCAGGCTTATGGCCTGACCATTCCTGACCCCTTGCCACAGGATCCCAGCAGCCACAGTGGGCGCCGGCGTCGGCGGAAGGGAGCTGAAGAGGAGAACCGGAAGCTCTGCGTCCAGGGCTTCGGTTGCAGGGTTTGGGATTTGTGGCTTCCAGATGCTTTGCCGAGTGCACCTACTCGACGTTGAGATCGGATGAGCGAGGTGTTCCGGGCCCCTCTACTGTGAAGGTGAAAGCTGTTGAAACTGCTCGTGCCGCCTGAACTCCTCAGCAGCGTCTTTCGACTGCAAAACCCGCCCTCCCCCCCGTGTACCAAAAATCACCGTGGCGCGAATTGAGCCCTACAGCAATCTCAAGCAAGAGAAGCAAGCCTGGACCAGGCGGCGGCGCCCGCCGAGCCCGCACTCCCTGTTGAGCAGTCCCTGCCGTTGGAGACGCCCGTGGGGCCCCGAGAGTACTCAGTCAAGATGGGCATCGAGAGGGTTAGACTTTGTTTTCGGATGAAGCTTCTCTCCTGGCTCCTTTAATCCGACAACCTGCGGACAGGAGGTGCTTGAGCCCAGCGACAGCCACAGGCCAGCTCGGGAGGGCTGGACAAGGGTCGGGCACACCGAAGTTGTGTCGATGATTTGCTTTGGCTTTTCCTCTCCCTATCTTTGTAGCAAGGCATACACAGGCACCCCGACACATCCGAGCCAGTACTCAGCACCCTGGCTGTCGTTTTGTGTCGAGGCTCGCCCGTGACAATGGTGGATCCCCCCAAGCCACAGAGGCCGCAGAGGCTGCAGAGGCCGGGAGAGTCTCGTTAGTACGGCGAAGTTTCGATTCAAATCTCACGGGCGAGACCCTTTTGACGGCACGGGCTTGCAGTGAGAATGCTTAACCCTGATTAGGCCGCCTAGGCGCTCATTGAACCAACTTTCTAGGTAGGCAGGTCGTGGAGACCTCGCATGCAGGATCCCAGTAGCCGCGGCGGCCGACGGCGACGGCGGAAGGGGGCAGACGAGGTGCTCGTGAAGTCTAACATTCTAGGATCCAGGGCTCCATGGCTTCGTGATCTGAGACGTTGAAAAAAGATCTGTCATTTGCTTGGGCTCCATCCAGGGTTGCTGGGTGGACTTTGAAGGCGCACACCCTTCAGTCCCGCACGTCCAACCCGCAACCGCTGGGGATCCTCAAAGGAGCCTTATTCAGCCTTCATCTTGACCTCCTTACCGCTGGTTTAGGGTTTAGGGTTCAGGGTTTTGTGGGAGCAGACCCCAGGTGAAGTACGAAGCCTGTTGCAAAAGGGTTTAGGGTTTAGGGTTTAGGGTTCAGGGTTTAGGGTTTAGGGTTTAGGGTTTAGGGTATAGTCACCAGGCTGCCCCGAGCGAACCCGCCCAGTCCTTGCCGCCCTTGCCGGAGACGGCCGGGCCCCGAGAGTTCAAAGGAATTCTTTTTCCCACAAAGCTTGTAACGTGGGGGGCTCAAGGATCACGTGCTGGTGCCTTAAATGAAGGAAGGCACCCCCTTGTTTCCCTTAAATGAATTAAAATGCCTCTTCTTGGACAGGATGTGGCAGAGAGCAAGCACAGCCACAGGCCCACGGGTGAGGGTGACGAGCGGGCCAGGAAGGGAGGCAAACACCATGCTGCCGCACTGCCACACTACAGTCGTTACGCTGCATGTAGCTGACACTGCTTTGTGTGGAGTCGTAGGGCACAAGGCATGCAGCATCATGCACAAGGAATCATCTGGGCAAATGTGCTGCTCCGGGTGAAGGGGGCACCGCGTCCTCCAAAGGCTTCCCCCCCAAATGCTGCTTGGGAGCCCTTTTGTGCGCTCACAAAATGGTGTGCGCAGGTCGGTACGTATTCAGGAAGACGGCAGCGAAGGAACCCCACCGGAACCAGTTCAGGCCAATGATGCCCGAAAGCTGAAGATTCTCAGAGCCTTTGGTATGGTCTTGATGTGTCACTTTGAGCCCAGATGAGTTCAGTACGTTTGCATTTCGAGAGTTTGGGCTTAACAAGTCAAATCGCAGACCATCTCCTGGAGGCGTTGTGGAAGCTCTTCGGCTGGTAGTCTACAGTGTTGGAGTGCTGGCTCTAGAGACCCTCTCGACTCAAGGCGGTGAAGCCTTCCTCAAACGTAGAGCAATAAGGATAATAAGGAAGCGACATGATTCCAAATAGTTCCCACTGGCTCATGTGATGAATGCGGGGACCGCAATCGCCAAAGCCCCCCGACGATCATGCAGGAACCCGGTGGTCGCAGCGGCCGACGGCGGAGGCGGAAGGTGGCTGACGAGGTGCCGCCTAGAATTCCAGAAGGTCATGGATCTAAAGAAAGGCCCAACCTCTTGAGCATGCCGAGAGTAAATGCAAAGAGGGGCCGCTTGGGCTCCGACCCTTGGAGACACAGAGTCTCGACGCACTCCCCCCCCCCCCCCGCAACCAGGACGCAGAGGAGCACCCCGACAACGACAGGCGGCGGGGAGGGCCGGACATGACTGATGGGGAGTTGGGGCCAGGGCAGCAAGGCCCTGTAAAAACACTTCACCTCGCTACGATTCTCCGGGTCCGCCAAAAATTCCACATGAATAAAAAAAGGGAAGCTGCAAGCAGGTTGGCTGCCAGCGACGAGAGCAGTGGGGGAACGCCGGAGCTCGACGAGGCCTGAAGCCGGAAGCTTGAAGCCAGGTTCACCCAACATGTGTGGCTTTAAAATTGATTTAAGCTTGTCACGATGTGTGCGTTGCAGCCCCCCCGATTTCGTTGAACTGGTACATGTCACGAAAGGTAGCTACTGGGAGCCTGTCGTGTTTGCTTCACAGGCACAGGCAGGTTGTGATAGAAAGGAGCAGCATTGAGCATCGATCTTGTCCTCGCCGTGCTCCCCTAGATTTCGTGGCCCCGTTCTGAAGATCGTGTGATACAAACGCACATGCTGCACGGCGCATAGGCCTTCCCCGAGAGTCGGGGTCTTTAGATTCAGTGGTCGGACAACCCAATTAAGCCAACTGTCAGCTCCGGATCGTTCAGCGTCCATGCTTGCGTGACGGGGCGTTTTCCGAGGGAGCTCTTTCGGCTTCGACTCGTTCGAGGGGGATACCATGGGAAAACGTGGCACGGAACAGCACTGCGCTTCGCCCATGCAGGATCTCAGCGGCCGCCGTCGACGGCGACGCCGCAAGGAGGCCGAAGAGGTGCCTGTGGTCTCATGCGTCGTAAGTCGTACTGTGAGCTGTTAGCAGCTGTTAGCATGCTTTGTGGCACTGGTTTTCGGGCCCTCCATATTGCAACAGTTAAGAACTCCGAGTGCCAGGGCTTAGCAAGCCCAGCCGTTAGGCCACCTCCCATCCCCTGCTCGGGCAGGATGGCGAAGATGCGACGGCCACATCGGAGCCCTGTCAGGGGTTGTCCTCAGATGTTCCTGCGCCCGTAAGCCAAGCCCCGATGTCAACAGCCCTGATGGGACCCTTGTGCCTGCCGCTTGGCTCCGCGGCTTGCAAAGTTCCAGTGAGTGAAGGGCAATAAAAAAGAGAGCCAGGTTTGTGAAGGCTTCTTAGTTTCTCGACGCAGCCGAGGAGTCCCGCAGTGGCCACAGGAGCCGGTCCGAGTTGCAACCATGAGTCATCGGGTTGGAATGTCAAAACGTGGTGGTTGCGCTTCGCATCCGCCCTGTCGCCTTTGCACCTCCTCGCTCGTGCTTCGCTTCTACCGCTCGCTGGGCTTCAGGAGTCGTCGGCGCCGGGGGGAGGCAGCTCGGCTCGATCATGTGCCGCAGTGATCCAAGAAACACGATTGAGCATGATTGAGCACGCAAGAGCAGCCGAGCTCGATTCATACAAGTAGCTGGGAGATGCATGGAAAGCATGGAAAGGGGTAGAGCGATTGCCGCGCATGCTCGGCATGCATGCCCTGTCCTTTCTCCAAGCCAAAAATAGCTTCGCAAACTTCAATCACTTGCACCATTCTTTCAATGCTATGAACGATGAGCAGCGCACTCCTGTGGGCGCCCTAAAGCAGTCTGAGGATGAAGATGCCGCCAGCGCCAAGGAGGAGGTGACGTCCGGCCCGAGGCATCGGCGCAGCGACGAGGATTGGTCTACTGTGTGGTTTATACATACATACACACACACGTATATATGTATGTATACATATATTATATTCGTATAGATATAATAATAAATAGGTACATGCACAGGTCAGAAGGGTAGCTTTTTGCTCGGGGAAAGGCGCCTCTCATCTCCAAGCTTGCTTTATCGTCTCCATCTTTTGAGGGGCACCTTGTTCTTTCGTCCGGCGAGAACTTGAGGGTTGTGCCGTTCTGGAGGTAGAGGGTATCCGATAGGATTTGGCTGGGGGTAGGCGGGTTGGGGCTTGCAGGGCAGCAGAAGCAGCAAGCCCGACTTCAGATCGTGCACAAGCTGCCTTCCGTCTGGGGGGCGGTTTCAGAGTTCCACACAGCCCCATAGACTTCCGAGACTTCAGAGATTTGCGGATAGCTGCAGGACCGCAGTCGACGGCGGAAGGCCGAAGAGGAGGTGTGAACAAGTTGAACGAAGGGAGACTTTGGGCACATTAGGGAGTCTTGAAAAAGCCTAGACTCAGGCTTTGGTGCCTCTTGGGCATTGCCTTCTTCCTTGGGTTGAATCTCGCGTCGTTTGATGCCTTCGGACAGGAGGTGCCTGAGTCGACCGGCGACCAGAGGCCCAGTGGTGAGGGCTGGAAATTCGGCAGAGCATTGCCCATGGCAGCTGGGGAGTTTTAGCAAAGCTAAGGATGGAGACTTTGGTGGCTGTTTCTGGGGTGAGTGGGGGTGGGTGGGGGGGAAGGCTTGAGATAAGGTATCTTGCATGTCGGGTAGAACCCATCCGTCCCAAATGTGCAGGTTGGACCCGAGTGACGAGAGCAGTGACGAAACTCCTGAGCCCATGCAGACCGAGGCCCGAAGACGCAGAGTTTCGTCTCAGATGGGCTGGTAGCATGGGATTTCGGGGCTTCCGAGAATCGGGGTACCCCCCTAGGGGTCCTGATCTGAAGGGGATTCTACAATATTTTGTGGGTAAAAAGGGTTACCCTACTTTTGGAAACCCCCTTTCGGTTTCTGGGCTTAGGCACAGGCGGCTTGGCACTTGCTTTCTGTGATGGGTGGCCTGACAGAACCGGACCAGGAGGCCCGTGACACATCTCTGGATCCTAGATTGCCTCAGACTGCACACCGAAATTGTAGGGAGCGTAAAGAGTGGGCATACTACTGCTTGTGGATACCACTCACTGGACTTTGCGTGCTATGATGTTTTGCGCGCCAGTACTCGAAGCCCAAGGAACACGAAGCATCTGAACTTGAAGGCCGTGTGCTGAGCCAAACCCCAGCCCTCACACAGGACACTGACGGACTCAACCAGGGTGTCTCCGAGCCATCAGAGAAGTCAGAGCGTCGGCGGCGTCGCCGGCAGGCCTGCAGGGACACCTTCGCAGTGCACCTGCACTGAAGCTCCACATGGCAGGATGGCGAGGAGACGAATGCCACATCGGCATCTTGGTGAACATAGCGGCCCTGCGCCCTTCACGCAGCCTCCATGTCAACACCGTGGGTTCCGTTTTCTCGGCTTCGTGACTTCGTGTCAAGACAGGTGCAGGCTGCAGGTGCAGGTACATGTAGTACATGCGGGTACGTACTTTGTTCAAGGTTTCCGAAAGGAGCACAGGGTAGAGAGGGGCCACACTGCTTTCCTGATGCAGCCAAGGAGTCTCGAAGCGGCCACAGGAGCCGACAATAGCAGTCATGTCATGCCTTTTATATGGCCCTTGCAAGCTTCTTTGCTCTTCGGATGCTGACTGTGCAATTTGTTCCCCCTCCTGAGCATGTCTGTATGAAGAGGAAGGCGAATGTTTCAAACGCATGCCCATGCGTGCCCCATGCAGTCGTATTTCAGGACCCGTCGGCGCCGAGGGGAGGCCACTCAGCTTCATCATGACCTGTTGTTGAAGAGATTGACGCAGCTGGAATGTCTAGCAATGTGTTGTGTAGCAGTCTCCCCCCCCACCGCCGAATTTTCACAACAGCTGAGACAGACGCTTGCGCGCTCAAGCCCGCGAGAAACCCAGGAGGATGTCACCGCCAGCGAGGAGGTGACCTCTCGTTCGAGGCGCCGGCGTGAGGAGGTGCCGCTCAACTATCTCAACATGGGGATCTCGATTACGGGCCCCTTTTCGTTAAGGTCGGTCTCAGGGCTAGTAGGCTTGGGGCTTTGACTCCTAGTGTCCTCGTGTCTTAGTGCCATGTGGTCGACAAGGTATGCAAAGGGTCTACTCAGTTTCCAGCGACAGCCATCGATGCGTCAGCAGGGCGGACGAAGACGGCGGAAAGAGGCGGACGAGGAGGCCCCTGGTTCGGTGCTTCGACCTGCGCCATGCAGTTGCTTGATGTGTAGGGCTGTAGGGAAGAAACCTGGGCAACTCAGTTGCTCCGATCACTTGCCAGCTGTTGGGGGCGACGCTTTGAGACATCAAGACTTCGGGATTGGTTGGGGTTTCTGACGGCTTCTGCCTTTCTGCTTTTAACGCGCTGTTGTGTGTGTGCGTGTGTGTGTGAGTGACCTATGAGCATGCACCGTCATGTGCCCACCAACCCTGACCAAACTTTGGTGAGGAGGTGCTGGAGCCCGCCGGCGACAGGCCACAGAGAGGGTCGCGGAGGTCAAAGAAACTAACGGAGTCTCATGCGCTGAGACAAATGAGGCGTACGAGCCCGTAGCCACAGAATTTGTGGGAGGATTAATGCGTGTAACAGGTTGGTGGAGGCCCTGGAATCCGTGACGCTGCCAAACTGTAAGCCCATCGGCCAGCAAGGATTTCCTTGCCCTACATGGAACTCAGCTCGAACCCAAAATCATCGAAAGAAGCCTCAACCGCCACCTTTACCTTTGAAACGCAAACCTTGAACCCCAAATGTGCAGGTTGGGTATCGAAGAGGGCAGCGGAAGCGAGCCCATTGAGGCCCACTGTGTAGACAGGGAGACTTCTAACAGCAAGGACTGAGCAGCATCGGGAGCGCTGGGGAGACGGAAACTTTGGGAGGCGTGACCCGAAGGCACTAGACCCCTCCGATCCCACCGCAATAGCGGGTCGGGAACCTCGGAGTTTCACAATGCTTGTACGCCACCTCAAGCTCGACGTCGATCATCGGCGAATGGCAGTTGTCGGTGGAGCAGTATGGAAAGTTTGTTCGTGCTGGTTGTTGATGGCTTTCTTTGTCGAGCCTGTGTCTACTTGCTCGTCCCTCATCGCTCTACAGCCTACAGATCCCTATGGCAGACCGGCACACCCTATGTGTTCCGACCAGGCAGCACCGGTGGAGAAGCCTCGCCGGAGGACACCGGAGTCAGGGTTGCACGAGCTTGCAGGTAGCAGGGTCCCGCACGGGTAGATTCGGGTAGATCTTGAAGCAGGAGGAGAAGAAGACCAAAGACCATCCAGGAGGAGGACCAAGAGGAAGAGGCGGAAGAGGAAGAGATGGACTACGACCCCTTCGGCTGAGTGCTGGAATACCCTGAGAAGCAGCCGGCTCCCAGCGCGAAGAAAAGGGAAGTCGGCTGTTGTTTTGCCAAGCTGTCACCCCCAACCCAATGAAAGTGCAATCGTTTTTGTCCCTACCTATGCTAGGTGTTCCGGTCTCTCTTCGTGGTGTCGTAGTGGTTGTAGAAAAGCCGGTTGCGTGCTGCCTCGGCTTTGCAGCTTGAGCCACTTAGAGTGCGATAAGAGCATGGCCAGGGAGACCAGGAGAGACAGCTGGCCTTACAAGGGCGGGATTGCAGTCAGGTCTCGAGACCCCAAGGGAACTAGAACAAGTCGTTAACCTCCTTTGCCCTTAGCACCTTGCAGATGCAAGCAGCCATGGCCCTGCAGCCAGAAGAGCAGTGGCTGAAGCGCGACATCCACGATCCCGTGACTTTGGCTGGCCCCAGCAGCAGGATTTTGTCAAAGACTCCTTACGGGCGGCGCATGTCCTGTAGGCTTAATGAGTTTAGTGCTCATCACTTGGCAGCAGGTCTGGTTGGGAAAAGTTTGTGTGGTTGCTGGCGTGTCATCGGGTAGGTGCGAGTTTGCAGAGGTTTTCGACGGCATGGTGGCCCAGTTCAATGAGTTCGACCAGTCACTGCAACAGGTGAATTCCAGCTTGGTGCCTTTTGTGCAACCTGGGCGGCAGCCAAGGATTGCTTGTGTGCCACAGGGTGTGCTGAAACCCAGCAGCGGGAGCCCTGCATGTACACCCAGAGATGTAAGGCGAGGCATCCATGAGTTGGCTGCAGGTCGGGGCCCCGGCAGCGGGACAGTGGGGCTCTGGGGCTGGGCCGCTCACCTTACGTAGCTTTACTGCTGTCAATTATACAGTATTTCCCCACACTCGGTGTCGGGTTGCTAGATTTTAACCTCAACTCTTCTCCTCACCCGGTCTACTCCTCGCTCATCCCTTGAGTGCCCAACCCCAGAGTGTCACTGGAGTGCCAAAGGCTCTGGAGTGCCCAGAGTGTCCCTGGAGTGCCCAGCCCCAGAGTGTCCCTGGAGTGCCCAACCCCAGAGTGTCCTGGAGTGCCCAACCCCAGACTATCTTTACCCAGAGAGGGTGAGGATGTTCGAAGTAAATTAATCATTCAATAATCGAATGCCGAGGTGTACAGAGTCTGTCTGATGGATTGGCCGAGCAGCTCAGGCTGGCACAGGACCGTCTCTCCGGACTTTAACGTCTCTTGCAAAAGCGCGGCATGGTGTGCGTGGTGTGAAGTCCGTACGCATATGTGGTTCGACATGGAGGGATGTTGCAGTGTGACTGGCCGAACGGCAGCTGCCAGCAGTTGGGGGCATGGGGGGCGCCCTTTCAGGATCGCGTTCTAGTGACGGAAGGGTGCAGGCTGCGTGAAGCCGCGCAGAACATCGTACCTCAGCTACGCACTGTGACACCATCGACACTTCTGACCTGCGGAATCCGGCCGGATATGTCATGCCTGTCATCCCTGCTCGAGGCTCGCCATGACGCCCCACACAGCGCCGTGGCACGCTTCAACCGGAACATGGAGTTCAACATCACCACTCCTTTGAAGGATTCTTGCAGCGGCTTGTCCAATTCTCTTGCTGTGCCTGACATCACAGGACCACTTGGCCAACAACGAAAAGTTGCGGAAGGAGCTGGAGAAGCGCGACCTGTGCCGTTGCTACAGGGCACTTTGCCAGCTGCGCACTTCATGCTCTCGAGCCGACGCAGCAATCGGCTCTTCCGGCTCATCACCGTTTAGCACTTTCTCTCGTGTTCATATGGCAAGGTGCCTGGCTGCTCTGAAGGAGGCCCTCAAGCAGGTCGAGCTTTGCGAGGCGCATGTGCGGTGCCCAGAGCTTTGGAGTGGCTATTGAACAGTCTTGACTGACAGCCTTGTTCTTGCTCTGACACTATGCAGCTCGCATGTACTGGAGATGTTGAAGGAAGCTGTTGGTTCCTGAATGCTGCGACCATCAGGCATTGCAAGACACCGACCTCCGGCGAAAGCTGGCCAAGTCGGAGTTCCAAGCCTCCAAGGCGACGCGACCGCTCGGCAACGGCAACGGGCGTGTTTGTTACGTGTTGTTCGTTGTAAGTCTGTCAGTGATGTGGTCGCAACACGTCGCAGCATGTCGCAGCTTGGTGACTTGAGTGAAGTCCCTGCGCAGAACTGCGCCTTGAGGCACAGTTCGAGCGAATCAACCGAAGCGTCTTCGAGTGGCTCTACACCCTCGAGGAGCATAGGGATGACATCCTTGACTCCTGCACCTGAATAGCGCTTAGATTCGGCTGAGGCGGTCCGACGGTCCCAGATGTATGCGATGTCTTTGGCTGTGTGTGGAGGGGCTTTTGTTGAACCCCACCTCGGTCGATGCATGTCATGAACGTCACCTGAACAATCGATGTTTGCCATCACCTGAAAGGGGCACAAGGCCCACTCAACCCAGCCACTGGAACCTTAGGTCTCCAGACTTTGAAGCACCTGCAGTACGACTTTTTGGCTTCGGCTGCCCACTCCATCTCTGATGTGCTGCCCGAACGCATGGCTTTCCGGCGCATGACCGACTCCCGGCCAGAAGTTGACGAATCACCTGCGGGGCAGCCCAACGCAATGTCTGAGCGCTAAGGAGATGATGCCCGAGTGCTTGGAGGCCCATGTACAGAACGAGCTCCAGAGCACGCAGGACTCAGCAGAGCCCTCGCAGGCTTATGGGGCTTCGCTGTATTGGGTTTCAAGTGTTGTGGGATTGCTGGTGAGAGAACTGGAAGGCTTGAAGGTTTAAGCACGCGAGAGAGGGGCTCCAGAATCTTCTGAAGCTCGTCTGGTGGTTCCGCCTGATCTCACTGCATATGAAAGTTGCGGTCTCATCGAGGAGTCCCTGGAGGGCGAGACTGGCGAGATCTTCGCTCTGCGGCTAGTGGAGCGGCTTGCACGGGATGGAAAGGAGCGGCCAGGCGCGGCTGCGCAGGGCTCCTCAAGGTCTCACCTTGACAGTAAGTCGAGGGATTCATTGGTTCATGCCGCATCAACAAGAACATAAAACTGTTTGCCCACATCACACTCTCGCTGACGAAAAATGGACCTTCCCGACTCTGGGGCTGTGCAGCCTTGGGAGCCTCTCGGACCCCTCGCTGGAGGATCTAGAAGGCCGCCCCACGCCTTGCAGAATATGGGTGGCCTCACAGAGCCTCCCAAGGCCTCCAAGAGCTCCCGAACTAAGACCTAGTCCATCTTGCTGCTTGCAGCAGTTTTTTTTTTGTCGTTGGCGCAAGGGTGCTTTTTCGGTTGTGGTTTGGGTGCTTTTTTTTTTGGGGGGGGGGGGGGGGGGGGGGGGTTGTCTTTAGGAAGAGGTCTCTTGCCGTTCTTATGCTAAGAATCCATATCCCAGGCGCCGCACCCGAGTCGGCCCCTAGCGCGCAGCCTGTGCCTGGGCCAGTGCCGGATTTGGGCGGCGTTTTCGGTTGCGCTGTTGTGTTGGCAGCGCTACATATTTATAAAGATTTCTACTGCGAACCCTTGTTTCCGAGCACACGCCCTAAGACCGTCGTCGCCGAGGTGGACCCCTTGTCGCTTTCTTCGCTGCTCTCGCACGGCTTCGAGGAAGGCCCAGCTCGCCGTGCCTTGCGGCAAACGGGCAACGACACCCAGGCAGGGCAGTTATGGTTGGGGGATGGATGTTTGTGTTTCAAGAAGTTTGAGCATCTCTTTGGCAGTCCTGGCATGAAGCAGCAAGGTTCACAAGTGCTGAGGATATTGCTCATTTCGTGTGATCCACCAAATGTGTTGCTCTATTGTTTTCGTATTGCTTATCAATGCTAATAATTATTGTGTGTGATCTGTGATGATTGTTGTTTTTCATCTCCAGATCTCTACTTTTCTTGCGATCTATTGTGTTATCGCTTCGTTAGTTCGCATGGTGTGTATGAACATGATGATGATGATGATGATGGTGATGGTGATGATGACGATGACGATGATGATGGTTGCCTTGTTTCTGCCTGATTCTTAGAGTTCTGAATATGGACATCTCCGCGGCGAGCAAGATCTTCGAAACCCGGAGGCTGCCATGGAGCTACTCCTGGGCAGCGAGGATGGGGAGTTGGTGCGTGCCGTGGCTGAGCTGTGTGTTGACTGTGTTGAGGCACTGGGAGCTATGGGAGAGGGCTTCCGGAAGGGTGTCTGGCAAGGTTGAGGACACATTCGGTTGGTTGAAGACGGAAGCCACGTGTGGGCCAGTGGGCATGTTTGGATTCCTTGTTCCTTCCTCAAGGCCAGCCTGTGACGGCACACCGCGAAGCGCTTGAGGCCTGGCCTAGTGGCGCATTGCAACTTTGCAATTGCAATCAGCCCTCTGCCACATCTAGGACCAGGAATCAAGAGCTCAATATGAAAAAACCACGGCTCCGAGAATCACCCTCCTAACCCCCCCCAAAAAAAAACTGAAGCGCGCTTTTGTGCGGGGGTGGCTTTTTAAAACCCTCCCTCCTTCCTTAAGCTCCCCGTAAGTGCTCCTCGTGTCCCCCCTCCCTGATTGAGACCTCGCCGCAGCCCTGCCATGCGGCTGGGCCTACGGCTCTCGGAATACGGGGACAAGGCGGGGGCTTTGCCCCTCCTCTTAGTAATACGTAGGAGTGGAAGCAGCAGTAGCTTAGTAGCTTAGTAGTTAGTAGTTTGTAGTGAGTTTGTAGTTAGTAGGTAGTAGTAGAAGTAGTAGGAGGAGGAGCAGCAGGAGGAGGAGGAGGCGGAGTGGTGGCGGTGGTGTCATGGTAATAGTGTATTAGTGTAATGGTGTAATTGTGCAATGGTGTTGCAGTGTAATAGTGCAATAGTGTAATGGTATAATCGTGCAATAGCGTAATAGTATAACAGGGTAACAATGCAATAGCGTAATAGCGTGATCATGTAGTAGTGCAAACTAGTGGCATAGCGTCAGTGTCACAGTGTAATAGTGTCATAGTGCAATTGTGTATTAGTGTAATAGTGTAATATAGTGTTATAGTGTACTAGTGTACTAGTAATCGCAGTAGTATATCCTTTAGAAGGTCCTGCCTTAGCCATTTGCTTCGTTGGCCAGGTGTCGCCCGAGCGCGTTCCTAACCCGCGAGAGCAAAATGTGCGACGATGGCTGCAGCTTCTTGGGGTCAAAGTACAAGGTGATGGTCAATGGATGCCGAAGTGCCGCAACAACTGAGCAGAATCAAGGGCAGCATGCAGTCGACTAAGCTAAGCCGACTTCTGCTAGCCAGAACTTTGCCGCCTGATCCAGTAGAACACGCACATTGCAGGTTCTTCACTTCGTTCTGCCTTCAACACGATGAGCCTTTGCAGCCTCACAACTTCACGAACTCAGCCACAGCTTGCTCCGCTTGTCGGCTTGCAGTTGAGCACCAGAGTTCGGTGTTAAGCCGGAACAGGCTCTGGCTTTTGCACATGCACAGGTATGTTTTCACCAGGAATCTTGTTTGGTCGATTGCCCCTAAACAAATCGCGAGCCACAACTTCCTGCCACTTGTGGTTTGTTTGTTTTTTTGTCGGTTCGTTTGTTTGGTTGTTTGTTTGTTCGTTCGTTTGTTTGTTTGTTTGTTTGTTTGTGTGTGTGTGTGTGTGTGTGCGCGCGCGCGCGTGCGTTGGGCGTCATGTTTTGGCTGGTGCTGGCCCCGACACTTCTTGTGTTGCCGAGCCCGGCCACCGCTGGGATTCGGCAGGAAACGGACGGGCCCTCCGATTTCGTGGTTGAAGCTGTCAACAGATCGTTCTCGTCGCCTCCATCTGCAGCAAGACGATCTTCAACCATCTACGATTGGTGTGACTGTGGACATGGGCTAACATCGGTTACTTTCTGGCCCAGCCATGACCGCAGTCTTGCTGTGGCGGTCAAAGCCAACACCACACGCTGGCTGCACTTACCTCATCGCACAACTGCGCTTAGCTGGATTTGTGATGGCATGAGTTCTGTTGCTTCCACCAGCATTTTGGGGCCCTCTTCGTCCAATGCTTATGTCAGCTTGTTGCTGTCGACGGCGGAGAAGCCCGGCGCGTTTCATGCGTGTAGTAAGTACACCGGACGACTGCACTGGAATACTTGGGAGGCGACACCACACGTCTCAAGCGTGCCGTTCACGAGTGGTACGGAGGGCTATGCATGCTTCAAAATCCCATCGCTGCTGCGCACTGCGGCCGGAACCTTGCTGGCCTTCAGCGAAGCACGCACACCTGATTGTGGTGATTTCGCGCGAACCGACACCGTGTACAAGCGCTCGGTGGACGGCGGGCGCAGCTGGGGACCATTAACCCTGCTTGTGCAGGTGCCCAGAGAGGCGGCATCCGGTCTTTGTGGGCATCCCATGGTGGTCGGCAACATCGCACCGGTCCAGCTCCATGCCACCTCGGAACGTTATCCGAACCGCATTTTGGTGCCGTACGCGCGGAACAACTTTGAGATTTGGATCATTCACAGCGACGACGATGGAATCACATTCGTAAATGACCGGCTGATCCCCAACGTCACCATCACTGACCGCACAGGCCCTGAATGTGATCGTGGCATGTCTTATTTTGGCTTCGATGTCGACCGAGTGTCCATTGCTAATGCTGGTGATTTTCTTCGGTGGGCACAACTGTTGTGCAATCAGCATGATCCGTATCATAATGCGGCGCTGAGGTCGAAGCTGAGTGGGCCGTGGCAATTTATTGGCATAGGTCCGCCCGGCTCGTTGCAACTGCGTGAGTCAGGACGTATCCTTGTGCCTGGCTATCACAGCTACGTGCGCGGTCTTCTCCAGTCCCGTGGTACAATTGCCACCTCGCAGCTCTACAATGACTTTGCGCTTGCACACGTGATGATCAGCGATGACTTTGGAGACACATGGCGCTTGGGCACATCCTGGCCCATCGGACAAGGTGGGAACGAGAACCAGCTGGTGCAGCTGGGGGATGGCTCAGTGCTCTCCAACTCGCGGTCGTTTGCGACAGGCTCGACGCAGTTCCGGTTGCAGGCGCGCAGCATGGACGCAGGCGAGACCTTCAGCGCCAGCACCTATGTGTATGAACAGCCGCAGGGCTTTAACGGCTGCCAAGGCTCGACCATCAGCAGCCACGAGAGCAGCAATACGGTGTTTGTAGCAGGTCCCGACCCGCCGCATCCCAACAGTGTTGTTCAAGAGTTGGTTGACCGTCTTGGCTGCGGATTAAACATGACGGGGCGCAGCCACTTGACCTTGTGGAAAAGCGTTGATGGTGGACGTTCGTATCCGCAGAAATGGCTCCTTGATCCGGGGTTGTCGGCCCAATCGTCGCTACAGACGCTGCCGAATGGCTTGGCGTTGCTGTACGAACAGGCGGACCCGAAGCCCGGTGATGACCAGTCCGCCTCCTACATGTCCAAGCTACTTGGAAATCTGGAAGTATTGTTGCCGACAAGATTTGTGTACAGGGAGGTGCTGCTCTCGGCTGGCACCGAGAATAGCGAGCCTGCTGGGCTCAGCAGGTCATGATCGCGCAGTTCTAGCACCGCTGCATACAAACGAAGCTTGGCGCAAGAATGGCGATGCGCTTTCATGTGTGGGAATTGTTGGGATGTAGATCTAGAAATCGAGCAACTGGCTTGAGCTCGAACATCATCTCAGCTCTGGGCAAGGAATTGCATGTTGACATGGCCATGGCGGACCGGTCACGTTCACGAACTGACGTCGGATTCGAGGCCACATCTAGTTCAATCTCGCGGACAGGCCTTACACACGTCAGAGAGGTGCGGCAGTTGCAGCGATGTGCAGCGTCGGCGGCGTTAAACTGCACATCGCTGGCAACACAGAAGGCTTGGTGCCGCCAACGCCGATGACAGTTGCAAACTGGTGCTTATTGTCCAACATGCTTTGGAGCCATGTCAAAATTCAAAGTACAAATTGCTGCTACCTGTGGTCAACTACGTCCAAGGCAACGAATCTAGGGCATTAGATGCATCAGTCAGTGACAGCACAACCTTTGAACGAGGTCCAGTGTGCACACGCAGACGTGGCAGCCATGTTCCTCCTTGTTGCAAGCCAGGCAGCTTCAGTTGTCAACAATTCTACACTGCGAGAGGATGTAAACCTTGGCGTTATCATTGCCATTGATGTCATCACAAGAGCAGCCTGCTGAAGCTGACAGCAAGGCAAGTGCGTTATTGTGAATGTAAGATGTCATCATGCCACGGCAGACATTTGAGGACATGTCTCTCTTACCAAGCCCCAACCACAAGCAAAGCCTAGCGAAGGGAATTCTGTGTGAGCTTCTAGAGCAACGTCGGTAGCTTCGGACACGATGTGTTAACGAAGCTGACGCCATGCCCCGAGCCAGAGCAGCATCCACAGCCCTGAGGCACGTTCAACACATGTATGATCATGTATGCCATGTTGCTGCCATTTGCAGCAAATATGCAGCGCGAGGGCATCTTGAGAAGTCGACTAGTCCATGGCGACTTCGTGATTTCGAGACGAGGTGGTGACTATTGCGCTGCTCTCGTCTTGCGCAGGCTTGCCAATGAGAGCGAAGCTGTTCGACCGGGCCCCGTGCCTCGCCAAGCCTTGCCAAGGGCAACGTGTGCGAGAGTGAGCGACGACTTGAACTGGACCGGCATATTCGCCTCAGTCTTTCATCATTGCGAGAAATGAGCGTGGTGTCCAATGACCGGTCGCAACATTCCAAGATTCCTTCGTAGAGCATCCAAAAGCTCAGGCTTGGGCCCCGCTTGGACGGGCCTTGCTGCATCACTGGCAGAAGCTTCAGGCATCTGCCCCATCCCATTCTCAACAGCACGCCTGCAATTCGTTCGCCTCGCTTGGTATTGTCCTTGAGAAATGTTCTAAGATGCTCATTCTTCTTGCTGCCTCACTCCGCCTGAATTTTGTAAGCATAGATGTTCGACTCCAGGCTGGGGCAACTTCCTCCGCCCCTCCGCTGCTGTATTGGTCGCCACTTGGCGACATGGGCGCGTCGAAGCAGGGTCTATGCAGGTCTCGTTCAGTGCAGTCGAGGACACAAGTCGAAGCGACACTGAAGCAACAGAAGTCTCCTTATTTCAAGATGCACAGTTTTGTAAGTCCTGGGCCTCCTTAAGACGCGAAACATCCCGAAACATCCGAAACTTCATCGGCCAAACTCCACTCAGGAACTTGCGGCCCGGTGAGCCAGAGACGCTGCCACCTGCTTGGATCTCAGCTTACTGTAGCGAGATGTACACAATTCTACCTTTCTTTTTTGTTTTGAGGAGTCCAAGATGATGCTGACTTTAGGCATGCATGCCCATGCTTGTGTTAGGAGCTCTTCTTCCGGAGGCCAGCTGAGATGTCGGCGCTGGACAGCTGCCTGCAGCTGCGTGTGGTTCAGAAGCAGACATGCAGTTTGCAAGACGTTTCTCTGGGGCCATGCACGGCGTCCTTCAGACTGTTCAACTCGCTGCTCTCCAGGAGAGGCGTGCCCTGGAGCTGTGCCTCCGGCAGGGCGGCAGGGCTGTAGACCTCGGCGCTGGGGTCTGGCTCCCCAGTATTCCCAGATATTGGCACCAAGTCATTTTTGCTGGCTTATCATGACTTGTTTTTCTTGTGGTGTGGCGGCAGTCGGGGGGCCGGGGCCGGGGAGGCGGGAGAAGCAGTCTACTTCCATGGCTCGTGGTGAGGTGGGCAGCCACGTGCTGGCTCTCCAGCAGCGGGGCCTCAGCCCCGGTGTGGATGCAGTAGAACCTCAACGACTCTGTTTTGCAACCCTCAAGTGATCATTTTTTCCCATTGTAGCCACTGTAGTGAAGTTTGTGCAAGAATATAACTCACACTTTGACAGTTTGGAGTTGTGAGCGCTGTTGGCAGAGCGGTCGCAATCTGCACGACTTTTGGAGTTGCCATGCAGCAGAGAGTGCTCAAGCCTCCCTGTAGGGGAAGGGGAGAGTCAGAACCGCAGCGCAACCACCATTATTCTTTGCTGCGTGGAGTCTTATAAGAGAGGCCGTGGGCCAGCTTGGCTTCGTGCCGGGCTATGCTCCACCTCTCCACGAAACACTTGAACAACGATGATCTGGCCCGTCTCCAGGCGCCCAGCCAGAAAGGTTTTCTCTCAGTGCCCTCACTTCCAGGTGTGCCATCCAACATCCAGAACGAGCAAGTGAGCTGCTCCAGCTGCGGGGTAGACTTTGCGGAGGGTGTCCGCTTCTGCCGCCATTGCGGTCTGGCAAAGCCCTCCCAGGCAGCCCTGGTATCAGTCCGGAACGAGGTGCCGCGGTCAGACTTCAGGAGGAACGTGTCATTTGGGCCCACCTCGGTGTCTGACCTCTCGTCGCAGGTTCTGCCCAACGCACCGCCCCGGTTGATCGCCCGCTTGCAGGAATTGGAGCTCGACAGCCTCCTGGCGCTCTGTGAACGCTTGGAGGGCCGCCTTTCAAAGCCTAGGAGATCAAACAGGATCAAAGCCTCCGATGCTGAGCTGGATGACCTTTGCGAGTCACTGGTTGACCCAGAGGCCATGCCATCTCCACAAGTCCGTCAGCAGCAGCAGCAGCTACGGTACTTGACTCAGCTGCGGGAAGCCAAGGCCAAGCAAGAGTTGCAAGCAGCCGAAGGGTTGCCACTTCCCCCAACGAGCACCTCCAAGCCGATCTTGAAGTCCGCGGATGCCAGGAACTTGGCCTCACAAGCCCCGACTCCGTCGCCGTCACCCTCCACGCAGGTGCCCTCAACCTCTGCTTCCCCAGAGCCGGATGGACAGATCAGCATGTCACCTTCGAAGCAAGAGGCCGGGACGTTTTACATCCTTTTGCCGCTCCTGCGCTGGAACCCAAATGCACTGACGCAGCATTTAAGGTGTTGTGCAGCCTGTGTTGCAGTTCAGGTTCTGGACGCCTTGCTGGTGGAGCTGAACGATCTGCTCGAAAAGGCGCCAAGCAAGGTGCCGATCCAGACCGAGGGCACCGCCGCCAGCATTGGTGCTGGCGCCGGCGCCCAAGCCCCGCCCAAGCCCAGCCCAACGCCTGGCAATGCGGGTGTCATCGCCAACTCTGCCGGGCCTCTTCCGGTGGAGGCACTGGCAAAGCCCGTGAAGCCGTCTGCTGCGTTCATCGACACCGTGGGCATGTTGCAAGACGGCCTCAGGAACTTGGTGGAGAGATTCTCTGACGAAGTAGCGCAGGCCACAGCCGAGCTCAAGACGGAAAATGAGGGCCTGTTGGAGGAGCTGGCGAAGTTGCGGGCCAGGGTCCGTGAGCCGAGCGCAGTCCTCAGCACAGAGTGTCAGACGGAAGAGGCCGAGCCATACGAGGCCGTTGAAGCGTGTGCGTTGGAGGTGGAGCCAACGCCCATGGCAACGAGGATGCAGCCAGACTTGGCAGTGCGTTTCCAGTCCGAGGAGCAGCGAATCGATATCCCAGGCGTCGGAGAGCAGCCACCCCTGTGCCCAGATGTGGATCCTCCGGATGCTGATGCAGCTGAGGGCTCGAATAATGCCACGTTTGCGGCGCGTATCCAGTGGGTGCAGGAGCGCGCTGCTTGAATGGTTTCGGCGGCATCAGGCAGAACAGCATAACTTTAGATGGTGCTAGTAACTAGCTAGTAGTTCCGTTGGAGCAGTGCGGGCGGATGCGGGAGGCAAGCGGAACAGCATGGGGGCCAGGGTTTCCGTAAGAATGCCAGAGCAAGCAAAAACGCTTGGCTTAGCAGCAGGCCTGCGCGGGAGCCCATGAAGATGTGATGCTTGCCAGCTTAATTGCTGTGCCCGGCTCCCAGCCCAAATGTCTTGAGCAGGAGCTCCAAGCCGGCCAAGCAGATTGGGGCGAGAACGCTGAGGAGTTCGACAAGGCGAGCCGGCCTCCGCGGTGCTCGTGCCTGTGCTTGCACGAGCTCTCCCGGAAGAGGATGCTGTGGGATCTTCTCGGCCTACTTCTGCTCGTCTATGACTTGGTGATGACACCGTGGCAGGTCGCCTTCGGCCCGGTCGACAAGCTTTCCGAGGTCATGACCTGGATAATGCCGCTGTATTGGGCCATCAACATCTTCTTGACCCTATTCTGCACCAGCTTCTCCTCGGGAGGCGTGCTGCACACGAACCGCAAGGCGATGGTGTGGAGGTACTTCGCACAGGGCTTCCTGCTCTTGGATCTGCTCACCACTTGCCTCGACCTCGCGGTGCTCACGACCTTCTATGACCTTCCTCAGTCCGCCTACCAATCCCTCCGTGCTTGGATCCTGAACAAGGATGTCTACCTTGGCATCCAGGCTGCACGATTGCTTCGCGCCCTCCGGATAAGCCGAAACTTGCTCGGCGTTAGGGCCCGGGTCAAGTCAGAGTTGTGGCGTGCCTTGGGCGCCATGGCCATCAGCACACTCCTGCTACTGATAGGTGCCCACATCATCGCCTGCGCCTTATACTACCTTGGATCATCCACTGGGGGAAATGAGAACACGTGGCTCCTCGAATACGCGCAGACGCAGCAGCAGGAGGATAGCACCTCCATGTACTTGAGTGCTCTTCTTTGGGCTCTGGCGCAGTTGACGCCAGGGTTGGGGCCGAGTCCTGTGAACCCAAAGAGCGTTCCTGATATGGTTTTCTCCGCAGCTGTTCACGTCCTGGCATTCCTAGCCTGCGTCGTCTTCTTGACGCAGGTGGGCTCGTTGGTGATGCGACTGCGAGACTTGCGTGGAGAGTGGACAGACCGCCAGCTGGCATGCAGGGCCTACCTGAACAGACTGAGTGGACTGAAGATGCCTAGCCGCCTGCAGTGCCACATCTGGAGTTGGCTGGAGTTGGAACCGGAGCCTCGCAAGGCTCTCGCTCCGGGGCCTCGCTTCCTTGGGTGGCGTGGCCCTCGCAGCCAGCATTGCGATCCCTGTCAGGTGCAGTCTGGGCATCCAGGGCAGCTTCCATGGATTCCCATGCCGCAAGACGCTCCACTGGCCGTACTTCCGCCTCTGATTCAGCAGGAGCTGGTCCAGGAGTTGGCCACTCCCTTCTTGACACTCCATCCTTTCTTCCACGAGCTCAACGTGGCCCATCCTCAAGCCATTAGTAAAGTCATCGATTGCTTCCAGCAGTTCTTCTACAGTCCTATGCAGGTCATCTTCCGTGCCCCGGCCAGGGCTACGAAGTTGCACATCGTCACCCGGGGCTCAGCTAGCTACTCGCTGGACCCCGCCAGTCGCGCGGGGGCCAGCAAGCGGCTGTCCCGGGCACCCATCAAGGTGAAGATTGGTCAGCACATCTCTGAAGGAGGGCTTTGGTTGGAAGCCTGGCAACATCAGGGCACCTTGATGGTCGATGGCATTGAAGAAGCCAGTTGCGAAGTGTTGGTTTTGGATGAGCACAGCTTCGGCCAGCTCCTACGTCGCAGCCCTGGGGAGCTTTGGCAGGCAGCAGCCAGCTATGCTCGGGCTTATGCCAAGCGGGCAGGAGAGCGAGTGACATTGACCGATTTGGACGGAGACCTGGAGACTGGCATGCTCTTAAGAAGCCTTTTCGGTTGAAAGTCTACAAAAACATATGCTAGATGTCTAGATCATGGTTGAATGAGTTGCCTCATCCACTTGACCAGCACATGGCTGCAAAACACTGAAGCTCGGCAGAAGAGCAACCCCGGCTAGCACATGTGACTTTGGAAGATGAATCAGTGAAGCAGCCAAGGAAAGCCTGGTGAAGATCACGGACGAGGCCTTTGCGGATGCGCTTCGCTACTTGGCTCAGGAGGCTGGACAAGATGCCGGCGAAGGCATTGGGCCGATCTCCCCGTGACTTCTTGACTTTAGCTTCGGGTCTCTTACCCTCCGAATTCACAGATCTATTTTAAAGTCTGAGCGCATTTAGATTAGGGCCTTTGTTTCACACCGAATTTGATCGCAAGGGTCACTGGCACTGAGAAGCTTGGGTCCGGGTACAAAACGTCTTTGCGCAATCGCTGGGCGTCAGTTGCTAGCAACCAGCACGGCATGATCCTGCAAAGTAGCACGCTTTGTGCAGTTGTGCCGATCCGCTCATGTTTGCCCAAGGCTCCTAACTCCTAACCGGAGACGAGATGTTAAACTTGCCACCAAGTGATCTAAGCCAATCTAAGCATCACAAGCCAGCTGGTGGAAATATGCGGCCACTTGGGTCATGCAGAAGCTCTCGATACCAGATTCCCCCGAAATTCGGATTTGTGGCCAAGAGGCTCTATATAGGTGATCTGACGGTGCCGCGTTGCCATTTCCCGGTGGAAGTGCCTGGCATGGGCGCCACTTGTTGCACGGAGCGTGAGGCTTGTTGGGACAAGTTTATCCGTGATCCTGCTTTGCATTGCTTTGCTGCCCTCTGTGGCGTCGTCTCAACACTTCGGCTTGGAGAAGCCGTTTAACTTTGAAGTGGTGTGCAGGCAATCGGCCAGTGTCAAGAGCCTCGGAGACCGCCAGCACCTGAGGCAGAGCTGCTCCTGGATGATCCTAACGTTCATACACTCACACACATACTTGCCAAAGAGAAGGGGGGTCATGTTTGACCCGAGTGCCACTCCTCAGCAACAAAACAGCCAACACGCAAAGAACCAAATGGGGGTTTACGATGTTAGGGGTACCTTGAGGGGGTCCACATTACAGGGGGATCCTACTATTTGGGGGGTCTACATTAGGGGTCTCCTATTTTCGTAAACCCCCAAATCAGGTACGAACCTCCCATACGGTCAGGCGGCCTGGCATGCGGCTCCGGCAGAAGCTGCAGCCGTGATCAACCCTGGGGCCCCTTTGAAAGAGCAGGCGTGACAAACGTCTGTTGAAACATTTTGTGGGCGCCGATTGGTGTACGTGTAAACCCATCGAGGGACCACGCAGCACGACCAGCGTGTATTGTTCATGGGATGTAATGCAGTGCATGCCACTGTCAAGTCATGGGCATGGCATGTCTCATGCTGTGTTATGTTCGGTGAGGTTCGGATGGGTTGGGTTGTTTGTGTTGATGCTGATGTTTATGCTTATGTTCCTGTTCATGTTTTTGTACGGCAACGTGTATCAATGTAGCACGTTTGAGAGGGATGTGTGAGACCGATTGTGTGGGAGGTTGCGTGCCTTGCTCGAGCCTGCAAAGGGGGCACATGTCAAATGCTTGTCTCATTTTCCCATGTCCTCCTTTTTTGACTCACACATAGAGCTCCCATCCCGAAGCCGCACCATTCCCTTACCGAAGGGGCTTCATTGGGGGTGTTGTTGCTTTCCACGACGGCTCTGACGCCAGGCCCCCAAATTCGAGACACCTGCAGCCACGCAGGCGCAGGACGAGCCGGGTTGTTTTCGCTCCAGGAGGGGTTGGGCTTGACATGGCTTGACCTCCTGCTGCATGCTGGCGGGCTGCTTTGTCAAGCCGAGCCACAGCAAGGAAGGCGTCACGGGTACCCGGTGCAAAGCAGGTGAGCCGCTTCTGAGTTTCATCCTCCCAGTTTGCTACTGTATCAGGGGTTCTTGCTGGATTATGTCACATGCTCGAAGACAGGAGAGGCCAGCCCACTCCATTCCCGAAAAGGTGAAAGAGCCAAAGAAGGATGGTAAGGCGGGGCCGGGAAATCTACGGCCGAATGCGTCATAGGGGACGTGGGCAAGATTGGCATGCGCTATCGCTGTAAAGTGTTCAGCAGCCAGCTTTTCGTGGCATTCCTCGGAGAGGCCGTGGCAACGTCTGAGCCAAAGTCGAAGGACGCACCGGCTTCTTCAGACCATTGCATCTTGCGGGGGAGCGGCGCTTACTGGGTTCATCTGGGTTCTTTCAACGAAGGCCCAGTGTAGTGTGCTTTCTGCTTCGTGGAAGTGGCCAAGATTCAGGGCTTTTCCTTTGCACATCCCAAACCTCCTTAGAACCTTTCAGTTTGCAGCCCGGAGTTGAGCGGCATGAGCGGCATCCGGCATCATAGGCTTTGATGTCACTGCAGGAGGCGTCGGCCAATTTCAGCCGTGGGTCCGAGGCTCCTGGGCCGGCTCGTGTGTTCACATGATGTGAGGGGGATAGAAGGTTGAAGAACTTAAGATTCCCTCCTATCTCATCCAGTCCCTGAAGCTCCGTGTCTGTCCGCCATGTCCATCAGTTTCCTACATGCTTTAGAAATCGGCGGAACCTCAACAGCTCGGACCTGGCTCGCGCATGCAGCGAAAGGAGAAGCCGCGCCGGCTGTCGGGCTCGAAGCAGGCGGAATTCAGTGGGTTCTTGCGGTAACTGGGGCAGCAAAAGTTGTCCGACAGCACAAAGGCAGAGCTTGACGTGTGCAGGCCGAGGTTGGCGGCAAGGAGGAGAAGAGGGTTGATCCTGTGGATGCGTGGCATAAGATCATGCAAGAGGTTTAACTTTAGCGCCCGATAGCCACCGCCCTGCAGCTGAACAGCCTTTCAGACAACTTTGGTGTTCAGCCATGCTATCGCACCGCTACCGAGGATGGAAAAGCATACACCTTCAGCCAGATCTCCAAATTCTACAAAGGATGCCAGAGTTCCTGTGCGTGTTGTTGAGGGCGTAAGGTGCTCTGCGATTCATTGGGCAGCCAATTGCGTGAAGGCTCATAAATAGCACACCATACCAGAGTTTTCGGTAGCAACCTGTATACCTGTGTGGACTAAGCCTACGTAGCAACAAGGAACATGTGGCCCCGCCCAACGGTGGTCCCATTGGGAGATGATACCGAGAGTCAGAGCTTGCAAAACTGACATGACCACTGCACCCTTTCATGCCGGCAAGGAGTGTACAGCAAGCACGACATCCAGACGTACTGGGACCGAAGCTGCAAACCTCTGAGCCGCTAGGCTCGTCAGACCAAGACACGATGCGACAGCATAAGATCTGCCTCGCGAAGTCACGCCGCCCAGCACCTGCGTTGTCGGGACTGGCATGTGGTCCACGGGCACGGAATGTGCCTTGCCAGACGAAATCGATTGCAAAAGAAAAGTGCAGCCCGGCTTGTGATGTTGTGACTAGTATGAGATGCCCATGTGCCTGATGCCGTGCACCGTCCATCTTCTTGAAAACTGTGATTTGAGATCTGGCCATATGTCGGAACCCATGTGAAACGCTGCAAGGCTTGCAGATTTCGGGTTTGGAGCTGTGCGTTGATGCTGTGGAGGTTGGACCCGGAGGACGAAAAAAGGGGATGCACCTGAAACCATTTGTCGGTGTCCGTTCGATTTTGCAATAGCCGTATTGGCAAGCTCCTGAGTCGGGGCAGGGTGACATCACAATGATGCCAGGTGATGAAGGCCCGTGGCGTGGAGTGTCAAGCGGGTTCTGCCCTCAGCCGGTGAAGCACGGCTGTTTTTCGTGTTTAAAGGCACCTGACATATCCGGCACCGTGCTCGTCAGGTTCATTTTGGAATCTGCCGGCTGCCACGAAATACGACACCATGCTTATGCTGATGAACACGGCAGGCAGAAATTGAGCAGGAACTGCAAACTCACACAAGTGTCGTGGGTGCTGTTGCGATGGTGGCTTCAATCATTCAATGTTAAACTGAACTGTTGAACAACACGGCGACCCCCATCAACTGTCCTACAGGGGCCTCCACGCATGGTCCCACATACCACGCGACATCGGAATGAGATCTTCAAAGAAGTTGATCGACTCAGCCCCAGCAATCGCTCCAGGAGTGGCTGGCACCTTTGAACGTTCCTCGCCTGCCACCAAAGCTTGGGGGATGGCAGGAGACGGTTCATGCTGGAGCTGCAGTTTCGAAAAGCTTCTGTACAGTGGACGCACTTTTTTCAGCAGGGTCTGGGCTTTGGGTTTGGGGGGTTATGTGTACTCATACGGTTTATGATGGGGGTTGGTGCCATCTTGGCAGTTGCCTGCGCGATGCACTGAATCACGCTGAAGGCTTCCGGCAGCTTCTGCGACGACTGCGCCAGAATCTGGAACCGACAGGGCAGCTGTTGCTTGATCTGTTGGTTTCCCAGGCTCTGCTCACAACAGACAGCAGCGCAGAGCAATGCTCATCACAGACTGGCAGATGCTCAGGTCACCACCAGATTGGCCTGCTGTTCACCGAGCAGCCAGGAGGGTGCGTGACAGGCCGGCATGGGGCTTTCACACCGGAACTGCCTAAGTCCGTACCATGAGTGCATGTGGAATGGCGCCACGCGTGGGAAGGCTCCCGGCAAGCAGCTACCATTCGGGCCGCTGGGTTTCGCTGAGCTGCTGGCTGAGCTCCTCGGCATCACGGGGAATGAGTTGGTGGCCTGCAGACCTGCTGGAATCAAACAGCCTGTAGAAACCCGGCCATGCTGCTGTGCAACCATCGCCAAACCTTGGCTGCTCAGGCCTCGGAGACCTGCAAGGGGCCAGCTTTCCGATGCTTTTTGCGGAGCCTGCAGCAGCTGCCCAAGCCGCGGAGGATGAAGGCCCAGCAAAACGAAGCCTAACTTAATTCTCAGAGACTGAGACTCGTGCATTGAGTGTGCCATCCGGTTCTTCTTTCCGAGCGCTGCTCGGAACGTGATTGCATTGGCATAGCAAGGTCCTTCGGGACACTCGCTTGCTGCGCTTACGTCTCGAGATTCGGCGCTGTAGATGCCCTTGCTCTCATTGGCTTCAGAGTGCAACGGGACAATGCCAGAGGATTGCTTGGAAGTCCGAGAACTCCTGTGCCGGTGCTCGTCAAGTTCTGCTTCAACAGTCGGCACTGCTACCTGCTGTTGCTGCCGTAGCTGCTCTTCGGGTTTATTTGAGTCATGCGCAGACGATGGGGCGGGTAGGTTGAGATCGAGTCTTTTTGGGACAGGTGGATCAAGGTGATCGGGAAACGGGCAGCAGCTAAACAGCGTAGCCAGATACTTGGACGAGAGGACCAGAGATGGGCAGGGATTTTGCAATGCTGATCATTGCTGATCGTATTTCGGGCGTGCGGCCACGCACACGTGCCGTTCACTTCGGGAGGCTTCCACGCCGACGTCATCTGCCAGGAGTTGGGGCTGAATCAAGTGGGTTCCGCAAGGAAAGGAAAGATCTTCTGTGGCATCATGTGTCGCACGTCCACCTTGGGAGGGCTGAGCATGGTTGACCGTGACCTGCAATTCCAGTTTGCGTAGGTTCTTCGTGGCAGGAGCCCCAGAGCCGAAACACCTTGCTCCGGCTAAAGTTGAGGACGGGGGCCCCGCGTCCGCTGCAGTCACCGCGAGTCTAAGGCTTAGGGATCCTAAGCCTGGCTGTTAGAAGGCTAGGTTCACCTCAAACGACTTCTCTCCCTCTGCCTTGAGAGAATGTCCTGAGATCCAGGAGCACTGCGCCAGAGGAGGGCCGCCGAGGCAGGCAGAGCTGGCGAACAGAACGGAACCAAATGAAGCGGCAGAGAAACCCGCAGGCAACGCTTCGCACGCCGGAACCCCAAGCTCCTGGCGCAAAAAGAGGGTGTGGCGCAGGCTAATGCGGGTACAGAGTATTGGGTGTGCGGGTATAGGCCATCTGAACCATCTGAATCTGCTTGAGGGGCCCACGTCTTTTTGGCATGAGATTGCGAGATTGCACAGCTGCACCAGGTTGTAAGTTGCCCAGACTGGCCAAGAACTTTGGCGGGTGTCATGTGATGTCACCAGACATCCGACCATCTTGCCTTTGTGAGCATCTGCAAGCCCTGTGCCACTGGCTTATCCAAGCTGTTAGTTTGAGGGTCTGCTTGGATTGTGCAAGAAGGTGTTATGTGGGGTGGCTTTGTTGAAAGTGCCCCCCTGCTCATATTGATATTTAGCTCGTATGCTTACCTGAATTTCGCCTCTCTAAGCTCGTGCCGGGCTGCCATGGGGCAAACTGTGGGGTGTTCGCTCGACGACCTGCCCTGCTGCACCAAGAACACCAGTCTCCTGGCCTGCAGAAAGAGACATCGGTACGATGTTGCCGCTCTTCCTCTGTGATGTTTCTTGGGCCTTCAATGGCCTCCATTGCGCAAGCCAGGCACCACTGGAGACATTGCTGCAAGCTCAGTCATGAGAGCGCCGGCCGCCGTTCCCACCCCTGAACCGTTCCGTGGACATGAGGTCTGAGATCCGAGCCGCGGAAGTCGAGACCTGATGAAACTCGAAGCCCTGAAGAAGTGCCGAGGTCAAGGCCCGCCCTGTGGGCTACGAGGCTGCGGAGGACGTCGCGAAAGGCCGGGGACGTGCTAAACTGCTAAACGCTCCCGCTACTCGCCAGACTCACTAGACGTGCCTTGACAGGAGAGGTGCCCGTGTGGTCTGGCGCCTTGAAGGTGGCTCGGGTGTGTGAACCCTGTGCTCCGTTCTCGTGAGGGAGGTTCGCGGTTCGGAAACCAGTCCTCCCGAGAAGGGTTCCGCACATGTCGTCGCAGGTCGTGGCATTCGTGGGAGGGTTAGACTCTTTGAAGATTTCGTTCTCTTTTTGCTGTAGTCTTGCCGGGTCCCCCGTCTGACCACATGTAGCGCGGAGGAAGGAGTCCCTCTGCTTCTCCAACGAGGGGGTTGTGAACAACTAAAGGCTATTAAAGGCTCCTACATTGATAGCGGGATCTTGGAGAAGCTTGGCTGAAGAGCCGCGCCAGCCTTTGCTTGCCCAGGAGGCGACGACTGAGGACTGCGAGAAAGTGGGATCATGTGGGTCACGAGTTGAAGCAACTGTTTTTCAGGCATGTCCCTTCGGCGTCTCTGTTTCAAGTCCGGTCATGCAGCCCGTCTTTGGCCAGGGCATAGGCATCAAAAAAAAAATAATAAGCATCAAAAGAAAATAATAGGGATCAATAAAAAAAATATAGGCATCAAAAAAAAAATAAGCCATCCGGCCCACCTGCTGGTCCTCTGTCCCGTGTCCCGTGGTCCTCTGGTCCTCGTGGTCCGTGGTCCTCTGGTCCTCTGGTCCTCTGGTCCCGTGGTCCCCTGGTCTTGTGGTCCCCTGGTCCTCTGGTCCTCTGGTCTGCTTGTCTGTCCGCCTGGTCCTGCGGGTCCTATGCGTATAAAAAATAATTAAATTAGACAAATAAGTAAAAATCAATAAAATAAATATATATTATATACACACGATAGTGAAGGTCAACGTGTGTTATATATATATATGTATGTAATGTATGCATGTGCACATATATATATATACATATTACATAATACCATTACATTACACCTTACCTATTATATATATACTTATACTTACATATTATTTATTATATTATATATTTATATTATATATTATATTATTATTATTTATATTATATATTATATATTATATATATTATTAAATATGTATTATGTATTATGTATGTACGTATTGTATTATGTATTCATTATGTATTAATGTATTATGTATTAATTATGATATGAATTCTATATTATGTTTATGTTTTATGTTTTAGTACTATGTATTATGAATTATATATATGTTTATATTAATGTATTCTGTATTATGTATTATGTGTTATGTATTATGTATTCTGATTATGTATCATATATTCGTTATTCTATGTACTATGTATTTTGTATTATATTTATATATATTATATTTATTATCATATTGATATTATATATTATATTTATATATTATATTATATAATATATATATATATATTATAATATATTATATTATCTTTTATATTATTATATATATATACATATTATATAATTATATATTATATTATAAATTATATATGTGTATATATATATATATAATTATATACTTATATATTATAATATATATCATTTATATTTATATTTATATGTTTCATATTGGTCGTACATTATATGATATGTGTATGTATATAAATAAGTAAATATAAATATGAATAAATAAATAAACATAAATAAATAAATAAATTTAAAAATAGATAAATATGTATATATTTATATATCGCAGATTGTATATTATATGTCATATATTGCATATCATGTATTGTATATTGCATATTATATACTGCATATAATGCATAATACAAAGTATATAATATATAATATATACTGTATACATAATATACAGTATATAAAATATATAATATTATTGATTATTAATTAATTTATTATTTATGACTCATTATATAGTATAGTTTATATATTATGTAGTATGTATTATATATTGTTCTTTGAAGCCATTGGAACGCAAAGAAAATGGAAGTTCTTTGCTTAAAACATGTAGAAGTAGAGTTTTTCCGATGGAAACATAGAGATAATAGAGGATTTCTCATGAAAACGTGAAGACAGTAGACGTTTTCTTTTGGGAGTATGAAGAAATAGAGGTTTTCCCATTGAAAGATCGAGAAACTAGAAGGTTTTCCAACCACTACCACCACTTCTACGCATCGTGCGAACATTGTTTGCAAATGGGGGGGGCTGCGCCCCCCCCAACCCCCCCGCTGTTTTTTTTAAGCTGTGCAAAGCGTGCTGCAAAGCCAAGTGGGGGGGTGTGGGGGGGGGGGGGGCTGCGCCAACCCCAACCCCGCCGCGTTTTTATCAA